TCTTTAAAGTTCAAGAAATTTGGGTATCGTCGGCAAGATTTAATAGCAACGATCCCGTCACCTTTCTTCCTAATTCAACGTCAGTTGTCAGGGAGAGTCATTTGCAAAAGGGCCCGTGTATGAGGTTTCAATTTGTGTAAAATAAAAATAAATTTGACCTGAAAAAACATCGTAATTTTGTACTTAATGGATGACATTTTGTGATTGTAAATTTTAAGAGCTCAAATCCTATTATTATTTACTATCCCCAAAATATTGGAAAATTTTTCTCGATCATTCTGAACGAAAATAACTTTTACACAAAAACTCAATTCGTTAAGGAATCAATGTTTAAATACTGAAGATTTCCGTTTTTACTGGGGCCACGTAAAAGAATTTAAAATAGATGTATATAATGTGGTCCTAATTTTTATTACTCGAGATCGATATTAAGTCCAGATTTAGTTCAAAAGAATGTGGATACAATCATCTGATTTAGCAGATTAGGGATCATGAGATACCTAATACTTGTAAATGGTAAGTAGGTAGGGCTACATTGGAATTTTGGTACCATTGATTTTTTAATACATATATTAAAAGTGGTTACCTAACTAGGTTTAATTTGTGAGCAAACCGAATCAAGTTTATATTGAAAATCAAATTTCAGGAAAACTGAAAAATGAGAAAATTGCCAATAAAAGAATGCCAAAATATTTTGGTGTCGAAATTAAAAGGAAGTTCAATCCCTAAATGCAAAGGCGGTTGCAGTAGAAAAATAACAAATATAAATTTCGTGGCTCGGTACATGGATTCCTGCATCCCTACTACACGCATACCATTGCATTTTAGATTCCCGGAATCCAAATTCTCCACTCGGTGAATCTTGGAATCATTCATTAACATAGCCAAATTAGAGGCTGATGACTTGAATATGATCATGATCTCTGATTTCTGAAATTGCATATCAAACTTTTATTTCTGGCCTTCAACTCGCACTGGCATCTTGACAGTACAATATTCTCCCTGTGATGTAATCAAAAACGTAAAACTAACGTGCAAGGTATCTGCCAAAAAACGTTATTTTGCGTTATTAGGGAAATGTTTTGTACAGGATAACCGCACATTAAGTTTAACGTTAGTGATTCATCACAAGAGCTGATGTGTTCCGGAGGGCTGCGTTTTCGGGGTACGGATCCTGAAGTTTTGGTTTCGAAATCCTGGATACAAAACTCTAGAGCAGGGACCCCGGACCCCAAGAAAAGCGGTTCCGGTTTGTTACTATTTAAGCGAAATATTTATACACGTTCCGGTCTGGTTTCGTTCTAGTTTTTCAAGAAATATGGCCATCAAAAAATCATTACGTGATTTTGTTAATGTAAGTGCGAAGAAAAAGTCATTGAACCAAAACGCTGAGTATCGTCAGTGTAGCTAATTAAATGACAAGAGGAAATAAAGGAGCGGAAGAGGGAAATTATATGTTAAGATTAATTATTCTAAAAAAAGAAAATTTATTTTCTAAAACCGTCCCCTACTGTATTTAGTTTTTATAAAGTAGTGGCTTAAAATTAGCGCCACCGCCCACCCGTAATTGCCTTCAATCAACACCTATTAAAAACTTTATAACCACCGATTGGCAATCATAGGGAGTAATATTTTAATCAATTTCTCGGGCCGTGCGTTGCCGGCCGCGTCCTTCAACTTCCAATAACTTGTTAAGAAACCGTAAAAAACCGAAAAGAAACCGAAAAAATAATATCGGTTCTCCGGTTCCAATTATCTCTATTTCTGAAGGAATAACGTTTCGGTGTATTTCGGTCAGAAAAAAATACCGGTCCGGTCCGGTTTCGGTTCTTTTCGTCCGGTTCGGGTCCCTGCCAGAGCCTAGGATATTTTCGATAAATTAAAAATGAAATATTGAAACTCGCGCGGGTGCACTGAGAACTTATATTGTTATCCACCCAATGTATTGTTCCAATTAGCTTTACTGCTACTCTGGAATAATTCCTAATTTGTACTGCCAAACGTAGAGCTTAATGCCATCGCTAATAATACAATGGACACCTATTTTAAATTCGAAGGGCAGAGTGTACTCGCTAAATGTTCCCTAAATTTCCTATAAACTGAATTTATCACATTTGGAAAAAGGTTTTTCTTTTTCTGATTGGGGCTGTTTTTACCTTAATTTAAATGATTGAATAAAAAAGGTAAAACATATATTTAAATTTATAACTAGTCCGTGTACTGTCAAACTTTTTTCGCATGCATTTAATCTCTCCGGAAAGGAAAGTAATGGAAGATCGATTGATTTAGAGTACCTAACATAATTCTAACCTAATAAATATCATCAGAAAGGCCACCACGGGGTGTTCTTGAATCGACCAACGCAAAAAAATTAATTTTCAACACGTTCAAGGCAATAACAATTTGCGAAATTAAAAATGAAAAGAAAAGCACAAAAGAATAATTAATTAACAGCCATAAACTCTGTTTAAATAGCGTTCCATGAACAACACACAATCTCTCAAACGAAGAGTATGATAAATCTCAATTTTAGAATTATAAAAAACCCTATGAAAAAAGCACGTCTGTTAACAACAAATAACGCCTAAAAACCTGTTTTAACCCTTTAAACAACGAAAATAAACCCCTGTTAACTTTATTTTTACCCTTTAATTATCACTCCTCTTCATTTTAAATCGGTACCAGCTCAGTTCGGAGAGCGTGAAAACTACCAGGTGTTCCGTGCGAAATTATTACCTTAATTTTCTTGATGCGCGACACATGGACACTAGGGGGACTAAGCATCCGAAACGTCTTTTACTTCGCTTTGTTATAAAGTGTATCCTAAAGTAGCTCTTAAAGGTTC